GCGCTGACTCTCACCAGTGGCTATGGATGAAGTCACAGGCGATTTTCAGCCAGCGCCAAACAATGCTTCTTTTGTGATGTACCTTCATTAGGGGTAATGGTCATGCTAATTCTCTCAAGCAGGAGTCCAAATCAGCAAATCCTTTCCTCAGGATACTCCAAACAGCTAATCTCACTGGCAGCCTATCACACTGCCAGGGATCTTTTTTGAAAAGAGAGACTATGCAATAAGAAAAAGGAAGGGGGGGAAAAAGAAGAGCACTTGTGCATTGCAAAGGAATCTACACATGGAGATAGATCTCTGAGAACATCTCTCTATATATGTTAGGAAGACAGCACACTACAACCTTGCTGGCTGAAACAGCTCCTTCATCATCTCCCAGGTTCTGAGTCAGAGCTTGGTGCGGAGTTGGGTGCGGAGTTGGGTCTTGGGAGGCTGCACTCCTGGTGGATACTAGTCTTGGTAGCTGTTGACAGAGCAGCTTCCCTGAGCTCTAAGACTGAAGGTCATAGTTTTGGCAGCTGTTGATGAAGACCACCTTCCAGTACTAGAATCTGGGCTTGTCTATCATACCCCAGGGTATCCACTTTGACACTTGTTTGGGGGCCCAGCATGTCCATTGCCTCCAGCAGCACCTCTAGAAAGGGATTAGCAAGACAAGATTGTACCTGACAGAGTCATCCAGACTTGACATCCTATCACCTTCACCACATTTTGTTGTTAGAAGGAAATAATAGCTATTACGGGGCAAACAAATTAGTTCTTCCATAAGACACAGCATCACACACATACAGTCACACACTCACACATACACTCTCAGTGATACAGAAGCTTACAATAAAGGAACCTCCTCGGGGTATCCTAGACACACCCAGATGCTGCCACTTTTCTCAGAGGATTGCCACACTTCTCATGGAGGGTGTGGTTTCTAAGAACAGCCTTGTCATTGGAGCTACCTCTTGGGTTTTGATTTCCTGGGACTGGCAGCCACACTGATCTATTCCTGTAAGCAAGTGGACAAAACCTCAACAAGATGCAGTCACTGAGCTACAACCAGGAGAAGATAAAATAGATGAATGGGATCTTCTAAGACTCAAATCTCTATGCACATCCAAAAACTTCTCCAAAAGGGTAAAAAAGGGAAGCCACAGACTGGGAAAAATTATTTGGTAATGACATATCAGATAAGGCACTCACATCCAGAATTTATAAAATACTTGAGCACCACAACAAGATAAAAGTAAATAATCCAATAGAAAATTAGGCACAGGATATGAACAGACACTTCACCGAAGAAGATATTCAAATGGCTAACAAACACATAAAGAAATGTTCAAAATCCCTAGCTCTAAGAGAGATGCAAATCAAAACAACTATGACACAAAAGGACAAATATTGCATGGTGCCACTGTTGTAGAATGGGACTGACATCAGGGTTGGGGTAAGACTAAGAAAAACTGGATAAATTATGTATACCGCATTGAAACAGATAAGGGAGAGAATAATTTTAAAGAAATATATGATAGGGTATTATGGTTATCACAAGAGTCCAGAATTAAGGTTGCATAGTGGAGTGTACTTGGGGCAGTGGTAGGGGTGTGGGGGGATTGTATACCAAAGAAGTAATTTTTCTTTTGCTTTTCAAAGAGAGCGAACTGGTGGAGGAGGGCTGAGCAAGGAGAAAAGGAGTGAACTTGGGGTGGGAGGGGGCTGGGCAGGGAGAAAAGTGCAACAATGAATGAATGGAAATCCAAAATCTCTATAAATGTTCATTAAAATTAATAAAATAAAATTTTTAAAAAAGAAGAAAAAAAACAATTATGAAATATCATCTCACCCAGTCAGAATAGCAAAATTTAACAGAAGAGCAAGCAACAAATGCTGGTGAGGTTGTGGAGAAACTGGAACCCTTATTCACTGTTGGTGGGAGTGTAAAATGGTACAACCACTGTGGAAGGCAGTATGGCGCTTTCTCAAAAAGTTACAAATAGAGATACCATTTGACCCAGCAATCCCACTACTGGGAATATACCCCAAAGAGACCATAATCTGCCCTCCAAGCAGATATATGCACACCCATGTTTATCGTGGCTTTGTTCACGATAGCAGAGTTGGAAACAACCTAAGTGCCCATCAACAAATGAATGGATAGAGAAGCTGTGGTATATTTACACAATGGAATACTATCCTGCATTGAAAAACAAGGAACTCATGCAATATTATTCAAAATGGGTGAATCTGGAGGACATTATGCCGAGTGCAATACCTCAGTCACAAAAGGACAAATACTGCATGGTGCCACTGTTGTAAAACAGGACTGACCTCGGGGTTGGGGGGAGACTGAGAATGATGGGTTCAATAATGTATACTGCATTGAAACAGATGATGGGGAAAACGGTTTAAAAGGGATATGTGATTAGGTATTTTTGTCATGACAGGAGTCCAGAGCGAAGGCTCTATAGTGGGGTGGATCTGGGGGAGGGTTCGTAAAACAATGAAAGAATTTTTCTTTCACTTTTCCAAGAGGGTAGTGTACTAGGGGGGAGGGTTGGAAGGGGAGAAAAGTACAACAAAGAATAAAAGAAATCCAAAGTCTCTGTAAATTTTTACTGAAAGATGCATTCACTGGGCAAAGTGACTGACCTGAAGACAGGAGAGCGGACTGCTGTCTGTGCTTCCACGCTTCTGGAAGGACGCATCATCCCTGTGTCCCCAGGACCCTGCCACAGGCGCCTTCTGGAACTCCTTCCCCTCCCCAGGGTCCTTGCAGGAGCAGGACACGTGAGAGAAGGGTCTACACCTGCTGAAGGGAGTCTGTACTTGACATAGAACTTTCCCTGGATGTAGTGATCATTTCCCTCTTGTCCCCACAGCCCCTTCATGAAGCTCAGGTGCAATGTATTCATCAGGACATTGGAATTCTAGGAACAGAACAGGGTGTCATTCTCTGTGAAGGGTTTACTTTCTGTCCTCCTTATAGTCCTTGTTAAGTAAGGGTCGGTTTCCAGTTCATCTGGCACACTCACTTGGTGAGATGAACGCTTTGTTTGGACTCAAAATTAATCCTTGAGTTCATGTTAATCTCTGTAGAACCAAATGTTTGTAGAGTCACCTCTCCCTGGAGGGCGTGCTCTGGTGAGTGGGAGATGGGACAGGGAGGTCGCTTCACAGAGGGGCTCTGGGGGTCCTGAGAGCTCTATGCTGCCCAGCTGCGATACTTTGTTAAATGGCTTATGGTGGGACTCAGCGAAGACTTATGCCCTCAGCTCCCATCACCCTGTGACAGGACAGCTTCATTTACCCTCTCCCCAGGTCAGGGTTTTCTCTCCTCTGCTATTAGGAGATCCACCCAGGCCCTCCTATGTCTCCTGTCTGGAGCCCTTGTGTGGACACACATGTTTACGAAGTGTTCTGCAGATGGTATAATGCTGGGCAGAATCTCCTGCCTCTATTGTCTTCACATGCTTCATCTCAGGTCCTCTGGCATAACACAGGATGGTTAATGTTACGTGCTGGAAACATTATGCTCTGGACTGTTTAGCTTGTAAAGCAGAAAGTCAGTGCCCTTCCTCTCAGTGCTGTTCCCCTCACACCTGAGCTGCAGGTGAGGACTTGAGGTCCTGCTGTGGGAGCAGAGACAGGGCTGTCAATTCTGGCTCCTCTCACTGTTCCTATACCCCCTCCTTCCTGGATTCCAGCCAAGCATCCTTCAAGCCACACATTGAGGTCCTGTGCATCCAATCTGCACACCCAGAGGTGATGTCTTCTGCCTCCTCTGCCAAAGGACAGGCTGCAGGGACAGGTGATGGGACCCTGGAGGAGGACAGAATCCTATGAGCACTGTGACTTAAGTCACGTGGGGTCCACACCAAGACTCCCCACATCTCTGCTGGCCTGGCTAGGGAGAGGGGAGGGTAGCACCAAGGTGTCGGTCTTGGGGTGAAGTTAGCATCCAGCCTCCACTTGCTCATCAGGAAGCCTAGAACAAGGCATGTTTCCTTCTCTGTAATTTGTTGTTGTTAGGTGTCATCGAGTGAAGTATGACTCATAGTGACCCTGTGAACAACAGATCTGAACCCTGTCCCATCCTGTGCCGTCCTCATCATCCCTGACACATTTGAACCCACTGCTGCAGTCCATCTCACTGAGGGTCTTCCTGTCTTTCGCTGACTCTCCACCTTTCCAAGCATATTATCCCTTTCCAGGGAATAGACTATCTTAGTAGCATGCCTAAAATATGTGAGGCAAAGCCTCCTCATCCTTGCCTTTAAGGAGCATTCTGGCTGCACGTTTTCCATGATGTATCTGTTTTGTTTTCCTGACAGTCTATGGGATGTTCGGTGTTCTTCTCCAACACCCAAACTCAAAGCCAGCGTTTCTTTTTCCATCATCCCTATTCATTGTTCAGCTCTTAGATGTGTAGCAAGTGATGGAAGAAGACCATAGCCTGAATAAGGCACACCTTAATTTTAGCATCACTGCTCTTGAGTAATTTGTAAAGATTCCAAACAACAGACTTGCCTGATGAAATACATCTCCTGATCTCCTAGCTCCAGGCTCCATGAGTGTTTACTGTGGATCCAAGTAAGATAAGCTCTGTGTGTTCAATTATTTCCTTTCTATCGGCATTTGACATAATGGGGGACAAAAGGTCAGTGTTTGCTTGCTCCCATCCCTTCCTGGTGTTGAGGTGAGCCCAGCTACTTGCCTCTCAACCATGTGAGTGAGGTGAGGGGCACTAGGCATTCCTGCACAAGTTCTCTCAGCCCAGCAGCTAGGCTGTGCATGGCCACTGTGGGAGACTCCAGGTCAACCACCACAAGTTCTCCCAGCCCAGCAGCTAGGCTGTGCGTGGCCACTGTGGGAGACCCCAGGTCAACCACCATGGAACCTACACCAGGTCCTTACTCCCAGTGTGTGGATACGTGCCCCTCGTCACCTCTCTCCTTGGCCTTAGCTGGCCAGAGTGACCTCATCAGGGAGGACTATTCAGAGAAATCAAAAGCCAAGCTTGGTGATGAGGACTCGAGGAATATGTGGGCAGAGAGCAAGTTCCTTCTTTATGACACCAACACGGGTGACATGAGGAACCTGTGTCTGGAAATGGATAGGGCAAGTCAGCAGATTTTGGGCTGCTCTGATCCTATATAAGCACATATCCAATCAGAGGACAGTACTCTGTGAGGGGAGAAGCAGAGATTGGAGGATTCCGAGTCTACAGAGAAGATGATGGAGTCAGGAGCATCCCATAACCCCAGGTACCCATCCTCTGCGACCTCATCCTTTGGTGGCTTCTTCCAGGACCTGTTCCTCCCATCAGGGGCTTCTACTCTCACTCCTGAGGGTTCCCCTCTGTCCTTGCCTTCCCACTGCTTTCCCATCCTAACTTCAGCCTCTCTGCTGTCGCCTGGGCTCTGCGTCCCCTGCTCTATTCCTCTTCACTTCCTACTACAGTCCTGCCATGAGCCACCACCCTGTGGACTGTGTATCTCTCTATCTATACCTACATCCTCCCTTCTGAGGACCCATCATGTCCTCAGAATGGGTTCAGCCCTTCTCCTGCCCAGTGTCACCCAAATTCCACCTACCCTGGGACAGGGCACCTTGACAGCACCACCAGAGTGGTGTTGGGTCCTTTCCTACCTTAGTCCACATGGAGAGACTTTCCTAAGAAAGAGTAATGTGAGGTCTGTCAGGATGCAGAGAATGAAAGAGGGGAAGTTGTAAAGGGAAACGCAGTTCACAGCCCAGGACCTGGAAATGCTCCATCGGACCAGAAAAGTGGGTCTGGGAGATTTCAGTAGAGAGGGCGCAGTGAGGCTGAGATGGAGCTAGAACCCAGGGGAGAAGTGTGGAGTGGGGCAGGGGGTGGGGGACAGGAGGACTTTGGTTGCCCTTGGAGTTGGGGGAGACAAGGAAAAGGCTAGAAAGAGCCTTGGACAGCACAGGGAATCCAGGCTTTGGGGCATCTAGACCTTCTTTATGAGGCCAGTGCCATCAACACCTGGGTGGCTCTGACCTGTCACTTCATGTTTCTGACGCTCCTCTCATCACGTGTGTGCTCCGCTGAGATGAGCTGCAGTGACTCCCACAGAGAGGAAACTCACAGCCCTTTCCTCTGGCAGAGGGGAGTGGCCGTCTTGGGGCTCCCAGGCCTGACTGGAAGAGACCTCCCACCTTAGCGTCATCACGCCTCAGTCCACAGCCCTTTTCTGTCCCAGTTCTGCTCTTTCTATCCTTCACTCTTCCTCTTGGCTTTGATCTTGTCTCCTCCTAATGGCATCATCAGGACAAACGTTTGTGCTGGCTGATGCTGAAGGGCTGGAGGTGAGGCCAGGTCTCAGTCAGGAAAACCAAGCCCCTCACGTGATCACTGATCCTGAATTGTGGGAAGGACATAGATCAGAAGTCAGTGTGTGTGTGTGTGTGTGTGTGTGCCACCTGCTTGTCTCTCCAGGCAGACACTAACAGCAGGTATGAAGACCATCCTAAGAGGTGAGGGCAGAGAGAAGCTGGGCGATCTGGGCCAAGAATGGGTGGATGGGCAGACTCTGCTCCGAGCTGTGTGACTAACCGTCTCTGTGCCTCAGCTCTGAGTCCCGGGGCAGGTGGAGGATTAAATGGTTAAACATAGACCATGGATATTTGTCTCAGTCCTTAAAATGTCATCATGAACATATCCGCAAAGGCCTGCAGGGTAACATGTGATTCCCCTCTAAGAATCAATCCACTAATGGACGGCATAGAGTTCGCTTCTGGATTTTCAGTTTTGCAGCTGGAGCTGTGGCCTTCAGTTTTAGGAACACCATGGCATTTTGAATAGAAGGATCTAGAGCATTTTGGAAACACAGCACAGTGAAGATTCGATATATTGTTGTTGTTGTTGTTGTTGTTGTTGTTGTTGTTGTTATGTGCCATCGAGTCGCTTGCGACTCATAGTGACCGTATGTACAACAGCCCTAAACTCTGCCCTGTCCTATGCCAATCACACCTATCCTCATTACCCCAATCACTGAATCAATCCACCTCATAGAGGGCCTTCCCCTTCTGCACTGTCCCTCCACCCTCCCAAACATGATGTCCCTCTCCAAGGACCTGTCCTTCCTTACAACATGTCCAAAGTATGTCAGATGAAGCCTCAGAATCCTTGTCTCCAAGGAGCAGCCTGGTTTAACCTTCTCCAGGATGAACCTGGTTGTTTTCTTAGCAGTCCATGGTACAGTCAATAATCTTCTCAAGATACATGCTGTCAAATTCCCTGTGAGAACCTCCTGTGGTGGAGGAAGCAGGCAAGATGGTATGAGAACTGCCATGAACCTTGGTCACCTATGTCTCTCTGTTGGAGGGAGCAGGACCTGGACCTGGAGGACACAGTGCCAGTCCTGCGATGAACAGGACCCAACCATGAGGCTGTGAGGAGTTCAGGTCCAGCTTTATTCTGACAAATCCCTCCATGTCACCGTGGTCCTCTTGCTTTTGCTGTGGTCCCACGTCCCACCCCAGTTTAGAGTCCCATGTAGACACTGGCTGTTCCCCTGTTACTACTGTTTTGTGCCTTCTGATCAGAACTGACTTGTAGCTGACCCTCCAGGGGGTTTTCAGAGACAGGACATGACACAGGAGAGAACTTCCCATCTTTCTACCAAGGAGCAGATGCTGAATTTGAACCACCTGCCTTTGGGCTGGCAGTGCAGTTCCTTATCTCTAAGCCAACAGAGCTCCCCAGCGGAGGGATTCTGAGCTGGATCTGTGGAGACGGAGGTGTTTATGGGACATTTGGGGAGGTATCCAGCAGACAGGGACAGAGGATCATGAATGGGAGTGCTGGGATGTGGAGTTCACAATATGTGAAGTCTGAAGACTGAGCCCCTGGCCCTCAAGGTGAATGCCCTGTCACAGCAGAGGGCATGATTGCATGGAGCCAAGGAAACCCCCTGAATCCAAACCAGCCTGAGCCATCTAGAACTGCACAAGGACTCAACTAATCTCTCTGCATTTTGATGTTTTTCCAGCTCTACTGTGATCTCTAGCCTCCCATTGTCTCCAAGTGACTTCAATTTTCATTTTGAGAACCTACAGAAGGCATTTGAACGGAACATGACTTACCTGTGCTACCGTCTAGAGCGGCTGGACAGTAGTGGTCCCGTCTTACTCGATGCTGCTGTCCTTGAGAATGTGCCCGGTGGGTTGGTGGGATGATCGCTGTGATCCTTGACTATCTCCCCTGAGACTGGGGTCTCCTGAGTGCAGGACCAGGAGTGAAGCATCCCAGGTTCCTGCTCAGGCATGACCGGGGGTAGGTTCTCAAGAAATAACAGAGGGATGAATGAATAGTTGCCAGATGCCCACACTTTCCTTCTAGAAAGGCGAGAGGCTTCTGGGACCAGAGCACAGTGGCCTTCATACAAACTATTGCAGCCACCCAGACTGCAGCCCTGACCTTCCCCTCTCCTTTGCCTTCAGGGACCCATGTGGAAATGCTGTTTCTGAACTCCAGAAACATTCAGGAGCTGAAACAGGACAAGAAGTACCGGGTGACCTGGTACATCTCCTGGAGCCCATGTGCCAAGTGTGCCCAGAAGGTGTCCAAGTTCCTGGAGGCACACTCTAATGTCAGCCTGCACATCTTCGCATCCCACCTGTATTACTGGGACAAGCCAGAAACACGGCAGGGGCTGAGGGACCTGCAGCAGGCTGAAGCCCAAATCCAAGTCATGTCTTCTCTGGGTGAGCTGGCACACTGGATGGCAGCAGGAAGGATCTGAGTGAGGAGGGCTGCTGGGATCGGCTGGCAGAGGCTCTGAATGAAGACTGCTAGTGACACTGGCACTGAGTTTACGTGGAAAGGAAGTTTCAGGGGAGGCGGTGGAGAAGCAGTGGGAGGGAAGCTGATGTGGGGTGACTCCCCCCGAGAGAAACATGTCCTCAACTCCCCTGTGTTCAAAGCTGACCTTCCATTCTTACATACAGAATTTGATGACTGCTGGAAAAACTTTGTGAACCACGAGGGACAGAACTTCCAGCCCTGGGAAGGAATGGACGCAAATGCAGACTTCTTTTCCAAGAGGCTTGCAGAGATCTTAGGGGTGAGATGAAAGCCACTTCTCAGCCACCTTTTAATCTCATGTTACCCTTCCTACCTTCTCTGGGAAACTCTTTTTCTACTTCTTCAATATTATTGTGGTTATTTGAGTGAACATTTACAAAGAAATTGCTTTTTTATTCTTTAATTCCTACACATCTTGTTTTATGACATTAGTTACAATGTCCACAATGAAACTGCACTCTCCCCACTACACCCCTGTGATTCTGCTTTCCACTAACCCTTCTTTCCAATCTCGTTCTGCCTCTGAGATTTATCCCAAAGGAGATAAGAGTGTTCTGAAGATGATACAAATGAAGGGCAAATGCTACTCTTTGCCCTTAAAGAAATAGTTATTCTAAAGAATGAGTGCTACTGAAAAACAAGGAACTCATGAAATACTATGCCAAGTGGATGACCCTAGAGGACATTATGCTGAGTGAAATATCTCAGTCACAAAAGGACAAATATTGCATAGGGCCACTATTGTAAAATAGGACTGACATTAGGGTTGAGGGAAGACAAAGAAGAAGGGGAGGAATGATGTATACTGCATTGCAACAGATGAGGGAGAGAACTATTTAAAAGAGATATATGATTAGGTGTTCTTGTCATGTCAGGAGTCCAGAATGAAGGCTGCACAGTGCAGTGGGCTTGGGGGAGAGGGACTGCATAACAATGAAAGAGTTTTTCTTTTATTCATAGAGGAGAAAAGTTAATTGGTGGGAAGATGTGGGCAGGGAGAAAAGTGCAACAATGACTGGAAACCCTAAGTCTGTAAATTT